CTTTTGGCATTTGTACGACCTTAAGTTTTTTAGATACATTATTTTCATCCTCATAATCAATCCTGTGGAAAAAAAAATTTCAATTTGCACCCTAGATATTGTCAAAATTAGTACCCATCCAACAATAAATCTCAACCATCCATTTAGTGAATTTCAAGATCTAAGCCATAACAAATTCAAAATCACTTCTTTAAAAGAATGATTATTAAAGTATGACTAAATAATGATTATTAAAGCCTTGACAAAATACTTCTTTTTTGGTAAATATAGAGACTTTATCAAGAGATCATTAATACATGCAACACATCATATTATAAACATTATTGGAAGCATGATCACTTAGACTGAGTTCCATCAGAATACTCCCTTCGTACTTATATATTTGAATGAGCCACACCTATCTCTCGTGTTTCATACTTTGGCTCAAAACCCTCGATCAAACCACATCTCCATGTGTATTACTACCTTAAGTAGATCACACTCAAGCACAATTAGGTACAAAAACACAGGGTATTCAAAATTCAAAACTATCTCTTTCAAATTTGTTAACACCTATAACCTAATGTCCATACACTCCAGACATATTTATAAAACAAATAGCCAAAAAAACGAAGAAGTATATGAAACTTAAAAATAAAAGGTTACTGAATCATCTTTCCCTATATAACCTTACCATGTAATGTGTGATAGATTTCATATCTCAAAACCATATAGTGTGGCACCTAGACTTTATTGATTTATTGATTTACTTGTTTGACAATATTTTGTGATATTGGAAGAGCACACAACTGATGGAGAATATATTATTCATCGGTTTCACATGTCACGAAATGTCCATCTCTTCGACACTTGGATTCTCCCTTTATCACACCATGAAGATATAATATTTTTTATCCCATCATTTCAAATATCACAAATTCGATTCTCCTACTAATCTTTAGCATTTATTTGCTATCATCAAGTCTCTTTATATATCCCTTTATATCCATTTATCTCAAAAAAACCAAGATGTTTTTAAAGGTATTGTGTTTCTTCTTTTTTCTACTATTTTTCAGATCGAATACTCTTCATATGGACTGTCATTTCTCATCAACTCTGCATTACGAAGTTTTACTATAATAAACCATAATCATGGCACATTATAAAACCTTTTAAATGAGCCTTAAAAAGGTCTCCATAATTAGGAATAAAAAAATGTGCCTTAACATGTCACATATTTTAATTTACTGCATAATAAAACATGAGCAACCAATGATAAAAATATGATATCTCTCAACTCATAAAGAATTTATTTATACTTTTCTTCAGATAAATAAATAAGTGACATTCACATCACAAAATAAATTATACTGCAGAATTCTAAGATGAACATTATCCAGTAAACTGTTTTTTCTCTCTACTCTTATGGAGTTTCTCTTTTAAACCAATTTTGTTTGAAAGTAGACATATAATGGTAATACATATATTTCCACAAACCTCATATCACTATGTTAAGTAGGCTTGATAAATATAGAAATTCATATCTCAATGAAGAACATACCAAATTGTAAAAAATTCAGGATGACCTCTATTCAATCCAAAAATTTTATTCCTCTCTTTCCATAGATATTTGTCTCTCAAATAAATTTTATTAGAAAATAAACTCAGAATGGAAGTTTAAAAACTAGGCATGGGCCATAAAACATTCTGTTAAGAATATAAATAAAATCATGACTTACAAATCATTAAAATAGTTTTTGTTGCAGAAAATAATACTTGCGCATCCTTCAATAAATAGACTGTATCTTTCAAACCACAAAGAATTTCTTGATGAAACTATTTTTGTTTGAAAGTAGACTCGATTTGATGAGTTACAATCAAATTTCAACTAGAAATAAAATCATATAATTGGTGGGAAAAATCACAAAACTCAATAGAAAGTTCCTGGATTTTGCAGAGTCATGAGACCATAACTCTCAATTCCCTTAGGATCTCCAACTAAAAGTTTTCAGGTAGATCTTACTCTCAAAGACACAATATCATTGAAGTATGTAATAGAAAAATATATCATTATCTTCTTCATATCACTACTCCAAAATAGCCCAGAATACTTATTCTGCGTAGTGCCTTTTTCCGTGTTTGAATATTCCAATAATTATTAACCATTGGTGTATTATGTGACCACAAAGGTCATTAACTTTCTTATATCTCATTCTCAAACCTGATCTAGACTCAATAAAGATATCGTACAACTAATAGCATCAAGTATCAATAACTTTGATACTAATGAAAGAAAGACTAATGCGATCTTACTGGAGAATATATTTTATTTATTTTTCTTTTTTTCTCCTATTTTCTTTGTTTTTTCTTTTCTTTTGGCAAATATCACTTACAATGAGTCTTATTACAATAACTATTGCTTTAAAGAAAAATAAAACTAACAAATCCAATATCTTAAAAACCTTGATGTCATTAAACTAATTTTTCTTAAACAAAGAAAATATCCACTTAGGAATATAAAGACAATATAATTAATTATGACAAGAAACAAAAGAGAGTTTCAGATATTACCTCAACCGGGCTTATTACACCTAACACCGAACCACCATCATCCGACGGTAAGGGATCAACCTTCAATTTCAACCGGTAAAGCAAATTTAGATCAATCCCTCTAATGGAACTATGAACTTCTTTATCACAAATCTCAACTTTTATGTGAATCCCCTTAGCAACCTAATTTGAGAGAAATATTATTTTTCTAATAATATAATGTGTTGTATGGGATAATGATCTCTTGATAAAGTCTTCATATTTGCCAAAAAGAAAGTATTTTGTCAAGGATTTTAATAACAATTATTTAGTCATGTTTTTTTTGGATAAAATTATAAGATAGTATTTATGATTTGTTTTTGTGGCCATGAAGTTGACTTGATAGGAAAAGTGAATGTGGTAAAATGATTTATGAAGGCTAAGCATATATTTTAAAATTAAATTGGATG